ATATGCATAGATAGATAGATAGATAGATAGATAGATAGATAGATAGATAGATAGATAGATAGATAGATAGATAGATAGATAGATAGATAGATAGATAGATAGATAGATAGATAGATAGATAGATAGATAGATACATAGATAGATACATAGATAGATACATAGATAGATGGTAGGCCACTTCTCTCACTTCATCACTGCTGTCAAGTTGACAGCCTGCATAACAGAGGAGGTGAGGAAGACGAAGGCCTGAGGATGAAGAGGGTTGGTTTTTATTGCTTCCAGAGAACCACTCCTCCATTTTTCCCTCCTTCATTCAGAAATGAACGAGTAGCAGCATTGAGCTTACTTTACCAGGAAGCACGAGGTTATCTAAGCTCGGAAAAACAGATCTGTACGATGTGTTCTGATCAATAATCAGCCAAATAAAAATAAAAATCTGCTTGAAATGCCCAGTAATCTGCCCCCACAGGCCGGGGGGGGGGGGGGGGGGGGGGGGTAGATGCACGAGCAGTTGGTAGAACAGCAACAGGGTGAAGCAGAAAGCAAGTGAACAACCTTCTCCTCAGTCAGAAGCTCAAGCAGTCAAATAAAGAACGGGCCTTGTCGCGTGCAGGCCACTTCATCCAAACGCGGCCAATTATCAGCAGCTCAGTGTCCCGGCCCGCATCCCGACAGATGTGCTCATTCTGAGACCATCACACGGCCACAGCAGCTTGTCACGACTCGGATTCTAGGCCCGGTTCACAATAAATAAATAAATAAATAAATAAATAAATAAATAAATAACCGAGCTGAATTTCTGCGTGAAGGGACCTGGGGAGCACGCCCATCGCGTCTTTCTCAGGAAAAGAAGACGTGTCCGCAGAATGAAAGCTGCTGACACAGAACGAGTAGATTTTCCTCACCTCAGACCCGGGGAGCCTTCCTCTTCAGCGCCGATGGTGAGGATGAAGGAGGAAGAGGAGGAGGAGGCGTACAGCAGGAACCGAGTGATGATGATGGTGATGATGCTCGCTTCGACCACGCCATCCACTCACACGCACTGACGCTCAGTGGGTCTCTCCACCTCCTCCCCACATAGCGCCCTCGACTCCATCACCCCCCCCCCCCCCCCCCCCCCACCCGAAGGGGCTTTGGCGCAGATTTGCGCTCAGTTTGGCGCATTTGTTTATTTGAACGTCTTTGGTAGTTTCAGTTTTCAGCGCCATCAAACACGCTCCTGTGAATTTGTACAACTCGTTAACACGCGCGTGCACACACACACAGTTATTTCTTCAGATATAATTCTGCGCAGGCGCTCTGAGCCGTTGCCATGCCAACCACCTCCTCAGCATCGAGATTGGCCGTCAGGGACTTGAACCCACGCTGTCCTTTACCATCTTCTTTTTGTTTGTTTGCTTTTCATATAGTTTTACTTCCACCATAGTGAAGTGTTGTGGATTTAAAAAAATAAATAAAGGATTTATAGAGCCCGAGCTTAACGTTTCTGAATAAAATTAACTTCCTTGAAGGAATTCAAAGAAAATGGTCTTATGCTGAAAAAAGAGCCAAAGTGGACATTTTGGATTAATCCTTTATGATTTTGAGTGGTCTTTGGAAATTTTTTGATATCTCGTGAAATGTCACGCTCTCTCAGCTCATTTATAATAAATACAATGTTTTTGACATTATGAAATGTTCTGTACTTTTCATAAAGTTAGGAATTCTTTCAAGTGATCCCTTAAAGTTTAATCTCTGTTAAACTCAAATTTGTTTGAAAGAAATAATATTGCTAAAACTTTTCATGGGCAGTTAATATAAGCCATCAAAAACCGCCTCGAATGTTTTTGCAGCATATGTGACTGCAGAATGAATCTCTAAAAGTTTATTGTACACAGACATGACTCCAGAATGTGGGGGCATAGGGCCATGTGTACGTATTAGCAGTTTATCATTAGTTTCTGCTCATTTATTTAAACCTGTTTAGGGTTAGAGAAGCCAACTTTTCAGTTAACTGTGCCCACCATTGGTTTTATTTTAAACTCCTGATTGCTCAAAAAAAAAAAGTTTTTATGTTTGACTCTAGGGAAAACCCAAACGATCACTAAGCAAACATGGGACTCAAGAAAAGAAAACTGTTTGACCAAGGGGGTGTGGGGGTCAATCCATCCTCTTTACCCGATTCTTCCTTTTCGGGTCACAGAGGTCACTGGTGTGTCCAGCAGTCACTGCAAGAGGCATGCAGGTGCATTCAGGCCTTTCTGTGGGGTCTCTGAGGGATGTGATGGCTGAGAAGCTCCATGCCCAGGAAGCAAAGTTATACAGAATTATATATATATATATTATATATACAGTATATATATTTTTTTTTTTTTTACACTGCATTTGTAAACCAGTTTCATTACAAATGACTCATCTGAGTTTTAGCTAAAAAGAACAAACAAAAAAACAGACCCAGTAAAAAAAATAAAAAGTTTCATAAAATCCTGCTGAGTTGTTCCAAGATTGCTTATAAAACGTATTCTCGTACTTTTAGGAATAAAAAAAACTTATCATGATCAGGTCAAAACTGCTTTTCTGACACTAGTTTGATGTGTTAAGGAAGTAGCAAAGTTGCCCCACAACATGATGGAACCACCACCATGTTTTACTGCTGGTCTTTGCTCATATCAGTAAAGAAGACTGATTTGCTCTTTTCCCCTCAAAGACTTTTGTGTTAAGTTTCTGTGCAGATCATCGATTAACATTTTCACAAGCAGCCCTGCTCGTCTTTAAGTAGAATGTCTAAAACATTACAACCATATAAAGATTCAATATTGAGACCACTGCACCCAGATATAAAGAATCTTGATTACAGCACAATAATGACTTTAGCAGGATTTTGTACAAAATGTTCAGACCATATGTGCCATATTTATTGGTTGGCTTTCATTGAACACATTTCCTGCCTGCGACTCACTGAAATGTCAAAGAGGAGCAGCGTAATGTCAGGAGCTTATGGAGCTCATTTGTCTTCATCTCAGAACAAACCCTCATTACTTGGAGCACAATGCTGGAACAACCTGACTAAAAAGAAGTTATTAAGAAACTAAATAATGTTTAAAAAAATTCAATTAAAAAATATATATATCCTAAAATAAACATAAAAAAACTAAAAGTGTGTTAAAAAGTTTATTTGCCAAACTCTGGTTGTCTGTACAATGATCCCAAAACAAAAACAGGTGGTTAAATTATTTCCACAAGAACTACAAGAAATAAATCCAAACATGAACGATTTAAAAACGTAAGAAGAAGTTTTCGACGTCAGACGTGGATTACGGAGACATTGCTGCGCTCAAGGAACCCGAGGAGGGACACCTGGGGGTCTTGGTGGCATCGGAGGAGCTCTCTGGAAACCAAAAGGAGGAGGCCGGGGAGGACCGGGAGGAGCAGCACCATAGCCAGGGGGAGGCATGGGAGGAGGGCCTCTCATACCTGGAGGCACAGGGGGTCACGAGGACGAAGAAGAGGAGGTCACAATGTGAAGAACCATATAAGGAAAAACCATGCAGTGGTTATTTGTTAATTTACTGTTAATGTGGATTCACACTGTTGAAAATTCAACTGTTTACTTTTTATTTTATCAATCGTTCATATCAAAAGTTCAGTTCATTCAGGAGAGGACTACGACTTTAGTTTTTTGTAACTTTAATACTTTTTTAACTAATACTAATGTACTTTTTTAGAAATACTTTGAGATATCTGCAATTCCAACAAAAACATGAGTTTTCTTTGAAATCTGCTTCAGCTAGCAGCTCTACTTTTATCTCCTTATGCTACTTTTAGCTTTAAGCAAGCCTTTTAGCTAACCTTTTTATTGCTTTTAGCTTCTAGCTAGCTTTTTGATATTTTTAGCTAAGCTTTTTATCGCTATTACTTTATAGATAATTCATTAAACATTGTACAAAGGAGAAGTAATAATATAAAAATAGACTGACTTGTATTATGAGATTGCAACAGAAATATTATACTCAGTGGCTGCAGAAGCATAAAATGAAATAAATTAAGGCAAGTTGGAGTTGTATGAAGTGATATGATTAAAGAAGATGTGTTTCAGTTCTGGTGTTAAGCAGTGAAATAATTTAAGTGAGGAAATGAAGTTTAGCAGCTCTCAAGTTTTAGACATAAATTAAAATGCAAGTGTATATAAGGAGGACATCGTTATTATTGTATATTGAATATTGATGTTCTGTTTGGACTTTTTTCTTCTTCAGCATTTCTATTTCAAGACAACAAATCATGTCACATTGTTTAAAAGTGTCCAACAGTACAGCTTGTAGAGCCTTTTTACTGAGAGCAAAGAGACTTAAGTGAACCACTGTGCTCACCCATGGGAGGTCCAAACGGAGCTCTGGGAGGCATGCCCATAGGTGGTGGGGGCATGTTGGGGGGCAGCGGAGCCCGTTGAGCCGAGCCTGGTGGAGCAGGAGGTGGGGGCACCATGCCAGGAGGAGCAGGAGGTGGCATGGGCATCTGAGGTATACCTGTGGGACACGGACAGCGTGCTCAATTGTTATGTTTTATCACGGACAAAAACGTTCAGTGAGATGAAAGGGCTGTAAGCTCAATCATCCAGGTAGATAACAAGAAAAAAGGTTCAATCATGTCATCCGGACCAGTTTCTTTAAGTGAGAAACGTTTCATCCCCCATCCAGAGGACTTCCTCAGTCTACGGTAGTGTACGGTATGTACCGCAAAATCCTGAGACACAGCGAAAAATCTGTGATTAGAAAAAACCTGCGTTACAGCCAAGGCGCTATAAGTGAACCATGATATTGCCATATATATATATCATGGTCTGGGGGCCTTTCTGGGTGGAGTTTGCATGTTCTCTCCATGCATGCGTGGGTTTTTGCATGTTAGGCTGATTGGTAACTCTAAATTGTCCCTAGGTGTGAGTGAGAGAGTAAATGGTTGTTTGTCTCATTTGTCCCTGTGATGGACTTGCGACCTGTCCAGGGTGTACCCCGCCCCTTGCACAGTGACTGCTGGACATGGGCACCAGCAACCCCCGTGACCCAAAATGGAAGAAGCGGGTAAAAGATAATGGATGGATGGATGTTTTATTTATTTATTTTAAATATATAAATTTGTAGCAGGGACTGCAAACAGTAATACTGAAATGTCATCAATGCTTGTAAAAACATAAGGCTTAAACTATTTCAAAATTACACTTCTATACCTGCAATGACCCTAACCTCACATATCTGAAGATCAGTAAGTCTCATCATGCTCTGAGGGAAAACGTTGTGAAGTAAACTGAAAAGGAAAACAACTTGTTTAGGTTCAGGGGAGCAGCAGCCCTGTTTAAAGTACTAAAACTTACCTGGAGGCATATTGGCTGGGGGGAAATGCGGAGGTACGTGTGGAGGTCCTCCAGCACTAACAGGTGGAAGTGGTGCCCCTGTTGGAGGCATGGCCATTGACGGAGGCATCGTTGGAGGCATTGCTCCAGGTGGAGGAACATGAGAAAACGCACCAGGAGGTGGTAAACCTGCACAGAAAACACGCTGTAATTATTGTGTCACAAAAAGCCAAACAGAGCTAATACTCAAATGCCACATCTCAGTGTGTTCTTGTTGAGCTGATTCTTAGAAAATGAATTGAAATCGTTTAGCAAAAAACTAATTGGACATGTTCAAATGAACACAACAGATAAACAGGGTACAACTTTAATAACCGTTTGTAAACAGTGGTTTTCAGTCACACCTGGAATAGAGAGAGTTGCTCCCAGTGTGGTCAGGACCGGTGTTGGTGCGGACGGTGGCGGTGGAGCATCTGCAAACAGCTGATGTGGTCTGTCTGCCTGCGAGAGAGGGTTCTGCGCAGCGAGTAGTCGCTCCGCAGCCGAGCCGTGGCGTTCTCCTTTCGAATCTTTCTTGAAGGCATACGACACGGTAATGGGCCGGTTGCACAGGTACTGGCCGTTCATGGCCTCGATGGCCGCGTCAGACGCATCAAAGCTGGCAAAGTTGATGAAAGCATAACCCTTGGAATTGCCGGTGTCTGGGTCTCGCATAATCTTCGGCGTTTGGAGAATGACGCCAAAAGCGCTGAACGTGTCGTAGAGCAGCTTCTCATCAATCTCTGGGTCCAAGTTACCGATGAAGATATTGGCACCCACATCCAGGTTTTTGTTGTGTGCCGAGGCCTTATTGACTCGAATTGGTTTGCCATAAAGTTTAATCATGTTCATGATTTTAATGGCATAATCAGCATCTTCTTCACTAAGGAATTCCACAAAGCCATAACCTAAGCCAAGAAAACACAGGTTTTATTTGTTATTTGCATTTCCATAAAAACAATGCTGTCGTTGGAAACAAACTTCTTTCAGTTTTTATTCTGAGCAACAAAAAGTTGCTGATGCTCACCTTGATGCTGGCCAGTGACCCGGTCTTTGGGCATGTGTGTGTTGACCACAGGACCAGCCTGCAGAAAAAGCTCCCACAGCAACGGCTCCGACACCTTCTCATCCAAGCCGCCAACATACACAGTGGCATCTGAAAACAAAGGAATAAACTTCATAAAGAAAACATCCAACAAATATCTGCTTTTTAGAGAAGAATAAAAAAGTACAATAATTTGTGCTTATTCTAATCTGAAATGTAAAAGTATCGTATATATAATTAAACTATAATCTTCATATATAACTACAATAATCTTTCTTCATTCTCACCGTCTCTTTACAATCAATGTTTATAGTTGTTTTTTTAAAGAATCGTTGAAAAGTTTTACTTATGATCAAAACAATTGGTTGTGTAAACATATTAGTGCAGTTTAGATATCGAATAAGCTTATGTGAAGTTTGTTACTCGATTATTGCATAATCAAAAGTGAACAAGCGACCCAAGTTACTTGTTAGATTTTGATTAACTGAACTTTGCTACATTAATGCTACGTGTCCAGCTTTTAAGGCTAACTTTAGACGTTAATGGTTTTGTTTTTGATTAATATATATCCTTGCATATATAATAGGTGGATAAAATAAACAGTATACATCGTTTAATTTAACGTACGCTTCAAAATAAACAGAATATAGCTAAACTGGCTACAAGCTAAGCTAACGAAACGGAACACTCCAACACACCATGCGTTTGAATGACATTTTAACACAAACTATTGTCTAATTACGCGGTCAACGTCGCTGAAAATAAGCAAGTCAATAGTTTAAAATGTTATATTTTCATATCTGTTTAAAAAACTGAGACAAGGCCGTGAAAAATAGCAACAAAGTAGACAATTACCTTGGTTTCTTTCTGAAATTGGTCCCGCTGCCATGTTGAACGACAACGCAGGGGAAGCGTTCAACGGAGAAGCTCCGCCCTTTCCGGTAAAACCCTACAAAAATAAAATGATAAAATAAAAAAGGTCTATCCTGTATTTATGTTCATGTAATAAAATGTCAATATTCTGTAAGAAGCTACAGTTGTTTGTAGTTTCTACAGTACAAATCTAATTAAAGACCACAAAAAGTAAAAATAAAAAGAGGAGTTACATTTTAATTTTATATATAAATGTGTTTAAAAAAAAACGTGCTTATGAAAAACAGACAACAAAACAAATAAACAAAAAGATGGAAACATACAAACTTGTAAAATACTCAGGAAAAAAAAAACATAAAATAATAAAAATATTTAGAATATCCAGGGCCACTTGCATGGGATTGCTGGACATGGGCACCATTGACCCCTGTGAAGCAGAGGGTAAAGATAATGGATGGGTAAATATCTGATATATATATATATATATATATATACATATATATATATATATATA